GAGAGAGAGAGAGAGAGAGAGAGAGAGAGAGAGAGCGATAATGGGAAAGAGGAGACGGCAAATGGAGGGAAAACTAGTCCAAGGATTCAATACTATGTTTACATTGGCTTGTTCCGTACTTTCAATGTTTTTAGTAGTCTCGGACTTGAAGAACAGAAGAAGCAATACACAACTAATTTGCAAATTCGACGATATATCTTTTGCAAATAGATTATTTGTTAATAAGAGTTTTACGGCACTTAACCCACAATTAGGTCATATAAATACCGAAGACTGGGGGTGTTACAAGAGAGTTACTAATACAAAAAAATAGAAGGAGGAGAGATAAGGAAGACAGATGTTTGACAAGAAAGAAAGAACAAACCACACCCGAGCACCCACCAATTACCCACTACTCACTTCAAATATATAGATAAATGGTGGAACGTAAGTGAAGAGCTAACGGGGAAAACAGGCATAGTAACAGACTGGAAATTATGAGGGTGCCAATTTTAAAAGCTTGCGGACTCATAACTTTATAATTGTTTGACTGGTGGTTAATTGTTCGGTTTGTTGAATGGGAATTCAAGCAATAATCAACCAACAGTTGAACAGAAATACAATTATGAGTCAACAAGCGTTCAAACTTGATACCCTCACGATTTTCAGTTCGTGAATATACCCGTTTGCCCCTGTGCTCTTCAAGGGAAAACTAGCGAACAGATATGCTGACAGAACAACAGAGTGACAGGCTAATAATATACTGACAAGTGAGACAAACAGAATGACAGTCTCATCATCCAGTGCCAGATCTGCGACAGACATCGGCGATCATGGTTTTCTATTCATTCCTTAGCTCGGATGCTCTCAAAAAAGCTACGTCTAATATACTGACTGACAGACAAACAAAGCGACAAACAAACAGGCACATTCGGACGACTTACCTTGGGGGATGGCACGACGGAGAAGGTGTTCATGATCCTGTCGGGGTATTCCTCACGGATCTTGGAGATGAGCAGGGTTCCCATGCCAGAGCCGGTGCCGCCACCCAGAGAGTGGGTCAGCTGGAAGCCCTGGAGACAGTCACAGGACTCAGCCTCCTTCCTCACCACGTCGAGGACAGAGTCGACCAGCTCGGCGCCTTCTGTGTAGTGGCCCTGTAGGGAGAACACATTGGTGGTGTGGTTGTTTTGGGATGGGTCTTTTACTATACTCTAGTTGGTAGTGGAGGTAGGGTGAAGAAGAAGAGTATGACAGAAAAAGAGATAGATAGATAGATAGATAGATGGATAGATAGATGGATAGATAGATGGATAGATAGATAGATGGACAGATAGATAGATAGATGGATGGATAGATAGATAGATGGATAGATAGATAGATAGAGGCAGTGAGACAGACAGACAGACAAACAGACAGACAGACAGACAGACAGACAGACAGACAGACAGACAGACAGACAGACAAAAACGTGGGTTGGAGAGAGACAAAAAAGATAGATAGATAGATAGATAGATAGATAAACAGATAGATAGATAGATAGATAGAGACAGAGATATAGAGATACAAATTGACAGAGGCAGCGAGACGGAGTATATTTACGTCAAGTTATGTGTTTCACAAACTTAAACCTCCGACATGTTCAGATAAAGAAAAACAAGCCGACAGTGAACGGAAAAAAAGAATGTATAATAACGGGTATAATGAAACACAAAATTACATAATGAGTTCTCCACTGACCTTGGCCCAGTTGTTTCCAGCTCCAGACTGTCCGAACACGAAGTTGTCGGGTCTGAAGATCTGGCCGAAGGGTCCGGAGCGGACACTGTCCATGGTTCCGGGCTCCAGATCCACCAGGATGGCGCGGGGCACGTATTTGCCGCCTGAAAGGATTTAAATGTTTTAGCTAGAGTTTTAGGATACTTGCAACGCAATTAGGTCATACAAGTGCCAAAGATTAGAGGATGTTAAAAGAAAATAACAAACACAAATAAAGAGGAGGAAAGATAAGGATGACAGCTATTTAATGAGAAACAAGAAGCAAATAACACCGGAGCACCCGCCAACCACACACGTTCATTTAGAAGGCTATCTGCTTTGACCATGCCTATCAGGGCCAAGCCCTGCGAGATAAAATCACTATTCCTGGGCAACTGCAGAAGAGCAGTATTATGTAGTGGTGGCTTATTCAAGAGATTGAATCAGTTTGCTCATTTCATCTGACTTCTGCCAATGGTGATAATCTAATAACAAAGAAGGTGAACCAAACAACTACGTATGAAAGCCAGTTCATAAGACATCTGGCCAGTTACGACACAGACATTTCCCAACAAAACTAAAAAATCTATGTATCTTAAAGAAAACGTTAATCAATTTTCTTTTGAGAGCTGTGCTCCTATTTTTTCCCTGCAGCGCGTGTGTAGCTATTTCATTGAGGAGATTACATCTTTCTGGTGTGTTTCTTACGTGTACGTGATAGTGCGGAAAGGAAACGCGGCTATATAACGCAACTTAAAAAATTTTAAAAACTAATAACAGCTTATCCCAGGACCGAAATGACAATGGATACATACTTGCAACAGGTAACATCGATAGAATATTTAGACGTTACCTTTTTACTATTTTTTTTAAAATAGAAAAAAAAATAATGGCACTGAGCAAATTTCAAAAATAGGGCGGGGGTGTGCGGAAATGTCAGGGGTATTTGTTTCAAAATGTGGAGTTTACGATTCTAACCTGTGGCCTCATTGTAGTAGACGTTGATCCTCTCGAGCTGGAGGTCGCTGTCTCCGTGGTAGGTGCCGGTGGGGTCAATGCCGTGCTCGTCTGAGATCACCTCCCAGAACTGTAGGAGAAGAGACGATGCGATAGTAAGATACATGGCAGAAAGAAAAACAATGGTATTTTTTTTTGGGGGGGGTATAGACAGATAGATAGATAGATAGATAGATAGGTGGATAGATAGGTAGGTGGATAGATAGATAGATAGATAGATAGATAGATAGA